ACGAAATAATCCTCCCAGATTGACTGGCACAATTAGAACATTAGTAAGCCATAAGGGCTAAACTGACAGCTGCTATGCTCATGATTTAGTTCTAACTTCCCCCACCTGACTGGTGCCACTACTGCACAGGGCTGGTTGGCGAGAGTTTATGGGGGTCAAGTACGCCAGTCTGCTATCAGCTTTTAACAATGGTGCACTGTTTCTGTTTGAAGTGGAACTTCTGAATAGTTGCACAGCTCAACAGTATTTTTTAATTCTGTCTGCTTAACAGTCCATCATGTCAAAGAAGACCAAGAGAACACTAAAGGAAGAAAACATTTTTTAATGAGGATTGGGAATTGCAATACTATCTTGTTTCTGCTGAAGATTAGATGATTTGCTTGCTTTGTGATACTTCAATATCACCGTTAAAGAAATTCAATGCTCATCAGCATTATAACACTCATAAGAACCACAGACATTTTAAATTAGAGGGAGAGGCATGAAAGGTTGTATTACAGAAATTAAAAGATGAAAAGCAAAAGCAAAGACAATTCTTTCAAGCAGCAGTAAGATCTGGGTTAATGCCACTGAAGCAACTTGTAAAGTAGCTTATATACTCAGGAAAAAAGGGAAGCTATTCAGTGATGTAGAAATTGTGAAAAAAATACATTGTGGAAGTTGTAGGCTGTTTAGACCTCAATAACATTTCAAAGTACAAACAACTGCCTCTTTCAAGGCAAACCATTAACTGATTGGCAGCATAAATTAGCCTTCAACTTAACAGAACAACTTCATGCAATACTTCAAAAGGAAAATATATATCATTTGATCGTTTTGGATGAATCAACTGGTACTACTGACTTGGTGCAGGTTTTATACTTCATTCGGGTCGTAACAGAAGATTTTCTTTGCTACAAAGAGTTACTCACTTTGGGTACTCTTGGGAAAGCAAGAACATGGGGAATAGATATCTTCAACAACTTTCAAGATAAACGTTGTGAAGTTGGACCGAATTTGGTATATTTAATGAGTATATGGACAGACAGTGCACCTTCCATGACAGGAAAACATGAAGGGCTTCTTGCACAGGTAAAGTATTAACAGATCCAGATGCTCTCATTTCTTTTCATTGTATCTTGCATTAGAAAAATCTCTGTGCAAAAGCTACTATTTTAAGTGACATTTTTCAACAAGTTGTAAGTATTATTAACGACATTCCTGCAAATGCAACACAGCATCTCAGTTTCATAACATGCTTAGGTTGAACAATGAGGTATTCAGTGTGGATTTGCTGTGTCATTCTAAAGTGTGTTGGCTATCAAAGGGACAGGTGTCAGACAAAATTTTATCTCTGCGAGAACAGATAGTTAAATTTTATGAAGCACGGAATCAGCAACATGACTTACTGAAAGAAGATTTCTATAGGAATTCAGAATTTCTATGTGATACCATGTCAAATCAAAATGACCTGAATATTTCTTTGCAAGGTAAAACTATGTCGATATATGATATGTGGCAAAAAAAAAAAAAAAAAAATCCGAGTATTTCAAAAACAGCCATCATTTTTTCAAAAGACTTCTTCAAAAGGAAATTGTGAATGATATTTTCCCGAGTTAGCAAAGGTCACTAATAAGCAGGATGATATATGTGAATCATTTGAAGAATATGCAGCTGTTACAGACCTATTAATTGGAGAATACAATGAAAGAATTAATTTGAGAATCATAACGTCATACTCAAATGAGCATTTCAGCCTCACCTAGTTGATATCACCAAGGCACCTAAAGAACTACAGATGGAATTGATTGAGATTCCAGTATTTCAGTAGATGACATTTAAAAGTCATTGATGCTGAGAAAGATCCAATTGAAATATGGGAAAATGCAGTAGAATATCCACGCCTTCGGCAACATGCCCGAAAAATGCTTTCTTGCTTTTCAACCACTTATTACTGCGAATCTGCATTCTCCTGCCTAACCCAAATGAAGATGCCCTTAAGGTCACAAATGACTGATACCGATCTAGAGGATCAACTGAAACTGTGGACCTCCACGCTACAACCAAATATTCAAATGCTTTTCAACAAAAAGCAGACACAACAAAGTCATTTAAAGGTTGTTATCTTTAATATTAACAGTTTTCTTAATAATTTTTTGAAATTATAAAGTACATAGCAGTTATATTTTTACAGAATAATGCACATTTTTAAGTATATCCAGTTGCAGCCTTATTTGATTACAGCTAAATTAATGTGGCCTTCTGACAGGAAAAGGTCCCCCACTCCTGTAGTAGGATTACAGGTGTGAGCCATTGCACGTTGCCACATATTAATTCTCTTGGCAAGAATTTTGCCCTTGTTTGTTTACAACAATGCCAATGGCATTCTGGGTAACACTGTAGACTCTCCTAGTTTTGCTATGGTAACATCTGTGGGGCAAATGTTTTTTGAACAGTATCCATTCCCTTGATGTCTATAATATCACCTTTCTTGTAAATTTGCATATATGCAGCCAAAGAAACAACTCCATGTTTTCTTAAAGGCCTAGAGAACATATATGTGGTGCCTCTCCTCTTTCCCTTTGTGTTCATCATCTTGGAGAATTACTAGAAATGGTGGTTCGGGCCAAAAGGCCAAAACCTTACCTTGTTACTTGACCTCTCCAAACCTTAATTTGCTATTTGCTTAACGGGAAGAAAAACCCTACCTAATGACACTTAAGGAAATATATAATAAAAATATAAAATATCACATATAACATATAATGTAATATCATATAATAATATTCTAGAGAACTAGCATATATGTACTGATTCGTAGTTATAATTATTAGAAAAAAGTTAAAGGAAGGGGCTAACATAACTGACATCAGGGACTTCACTAGACATTTCCACGTGCATTATTTCACTTAAACACTCGCTAAAAATATTAGTATTTTTTCTGTTGGTACCCTTGGCCACATCTTAATAACTTTACTACTTACTGATCACCAACAAAATGTTAGGCTTTTATATACAATTTTTCTATTACTAAGCATGGTAGATACTATTAACCCTATTTTACAGATGAGAAACTTGAATCCCAGAAAGGTTAAGAAACTTTACCAAGGTTACAAGACCTAGTAAGTATGATATCTACTTATAGACAAAATCTAGTCTGCTTGACTTACCCACTATCACAAACCACCGTTTTACCAGTCAACAAAAGTATTTAAGTACTACGTATACCAAACACTTAGGGAATGCAGGTGAATAAGAAAAAACACAGTCCTTTTCCTCATGGAACTAAGAATCTGACAGGAGGAAGAGCCATTAAACAAATAATTACACAAGTATGTGTAATGAAATCTGTATCTCAAATACGTCTAATAAAAGTAGTAACGACAGCCACAGCTAAAACAGAATAGTGCCACTATCCCCATTTATAGAGGCAGAGGTTAAAAAAACAACAATGTTTAAGTGAATTGTCCAGGAGAGGACTTAACTTAGTCTAGGGAGATCAAGGAAGTGACATTTAAGAGAAGACTATGGAAAAAAGCAAAGCAGTTAAGGTTAAAGAGGAAGAGAAGGCTAGAAAGACATTCCAGGCTAAGGGAACTATGTATATCCGATCTCTGAATCAAAAGGCAGTATACGCTAGGAGGAGGAAAAGGACAAAATGCGTCAGTTCCAAGACTAAAGAATAAAAGCATGCATAAAAATGTACACAAAAGCAAGCACGTGCGCGCGCGCACACACACACACACACACACACACACACACACACACACACTTTGCTCCCGCCAACTCGCCAGCTGTTCAGTTTCTTTTTTCCCTCCCATCCTGAAGTCACAGCTTTTCTGAAATCAAACAGCAACAACTGCAGTGGCAGATGGTCCTCCAGCGAGGGGATAAGGCACAGTTGGCAACTCTCAGGTAGGCACAGGCCTTCTATGAGCAGGAATTTTAGGGGGAAAAAAGTCCAGTTTTCTTTTCTTCCTATTTTGCTTTCATTCCTAAGAGAAGTGATGTCATACTTTATGTCTAATCCACAAAAACAACAGTTCTACTTATGCATAAGAAATGTAAACATTACTAAAAAACAAACCTGGCTTTTTATAACTAGATTATAATTTTTATCAATTAATTTTTTTACATTTTCAAAGAATCAAAAAAAGTTGCAAATCAGTGAAAAGAACTCTTTTTCCTGAACCAAATGAGAGTAAGTTGCCTACCTGATATACGTCATCTCTGAATACTTTAAAGTGTATTTCCTACAAACAAGGACATTCCTCTACATAACCACAATATAGCCAAAAGTTTAGGAAACCATCATTGATACATGACAACCATCTAACCCTCAGACTCCGTTAAAAACTTGGCCAGTTGTCCAAATAACATCCTAGAGAGCAAAAGGGTCCAGTTGAGAACCTCTGCATTGCATTTATTTGTTCTATCTCCCCTTCAGTGTGGAGAAGTATCGAGAAGTTTCTGTCTTTAATGATCTTGACACTTTTGAAGATTATTGGGCAATTACTTTGCAAACTAAATTTGCCTTGTGTGTCCTTATATGATTCAAGTTATGCATACTGGGATGTAACATCACAGAAGTGATACTGTATTCTCATTGAATCCCACCATGCAGCGTATGATTTTGATTTGTTCCATTAGTGATGATATTCTTGATACTGATGATCACATGATATAAGTGGTATCTACAAATCATTTCCACAGTGAAGAAAGTTTTCTCCTTTGTAATTCATATTTTGGTGATGGTGAGGATTTTGAAACTATAAAAATATGCTATTCTTCATCAAGCTTTTTTCATTTATATTTCTATATATTCATTTATATTCATATCATATTATCCATTTATAACATGATTTCCTATTTTATTCAATGGATTATATTCTGCTACTATTAATACAATTATTTGTTTTACGTTAAAGTTTTCCCTAATTTGGCCAGTGAGCAGCCCCTTGAAGCTGAGTTCTGTGTCCTTCTGACATGTTCCCATCATTCTCTGAGCTTCCAATACAAGAAGTTCCAGGCTTATCTTTTTCTTTCCCTGCCCCAGCCCAGGTACCAGTTAATTCTCCAAGAAATCCTGGGCTACTTAGTGCAGAACAGAATTTAGAAAACAAGGTCTGAATCTAGGTATTCTTGTTACATTGGGGTTTCATTGCCTCTAGGGACTCTCAAGTGGACAGAGCTAGATAGTATATATATGTGTCTATATTTATTGTGCTTGTATACATATAAGTATGTGTATGTAAACATATTTAAAAAAATGCATTCACACCAACCAATTGCTCCAATTCCAATCCAACACCACCTCACAATTCTAGATTTCTCCCTTTCCTTATTTATTAACTCCCTTCTCTGACACTGAGAAATATGCTTCCCATTATCCTTACATATATTTATTTGACCAAGCCCCTTGTTTGTAACCAATCTCCCATTTCCCCTGTCATCGCTCCTCTGAATGGACATTCTCCTCGGGCTCAGATACCTGGGGTGCATGCCCTCCTCAGCCCATCTGGACTCCGACACCCTGCTTTGGTGCTTTGGGCCACTGTGCCTCTAACCTAACATCAGACCTACCTAATGGTTTTAGGACTGAATTGCTCGGAAGAAAGAAAAGGGGTAGAAGGATAGTAGTCACAAGCGATTAAAAATTTTAACCTAGACACAAAGGTACAATGAAAAGTCAGCAGTCTGCAAGCTGAAAGAGGACCCTCACAAAGAATCCCACCATGCTGTGAGAAATAAAAGTTTGTTGTTTAAGGCACCCACTCTATTGTATTTTGTTATAGACAGACACCTACATAAAGGAAAAAGGGAAAAGATAATTATTTTGTTCATGTTGGGTACAGAGGCTTTGTGAATGTTTGCAGGAAAAGAAAAACGCTTACTGAGGGGAAAGAAGAAAGACCTCAGCAGGAGAGAAGACTACTGAGACTAATGATGCCTCATCCCAGAAAAGGTGCACAGGGAGAGTTCAAAAGACAAGACTTGGAGAGCTGTTTAAGATAAAAAGGAAGTATGCTGAGGAAACACACAATGAATAGCATTAATCAAGAAAAATAGTAAAGGAGAGATTATATGTTGTGATTCAATGGGACACTATCAAACACAAAGAAAATGTTTCCTGAAAAAAATAATCAAGAGTATTGCTTAATCAGTCAGTGTCAACCTGCCAGCGTCAGCCAAGTTCTGCTGTGCAGTTAGCAGCCAAAATACAAAGACAAGTTTATCCCATTTGTAGTTGGCCTTAGATGTCAACTGTCCACTTGACCATCTCCAATTCCACGACTCTTGAGCAGTTCACCACTCGGCTACTCAAACCAAAATGTTAGATGCACTAAACATTTCCTTCCCCCTCAGCCCCCACCATCCATTCACTCTCCATAGAGTAGACAAAGTGATTTTCTGAATGTAAGCCAGATCCCTCAGTGGTATCCCTCCACATTCAGAATATACTTCAGATTTCTAAATCAGACACTTTAAGGACCTGCCCCATCTCTATCTAACTTCATCTCCAGCCACTTTCCATATTATCCACTACGATACCAGCCAGATTGGCTTCCTTTTAGTTCCTTAAATTCACCAAACTCCTGAGTCGCCTTGTCGACTTTGCATTTTGGTCTGCATTCACCAGGAACAGTCATCCCTAATTACATGCCTTCCACTTCTTCAGATTATAGCTTGAATGTTACTTCCTCAGTAAGATCTTCCTCAACAGCACCACATCCAAAGTGATGAAAACTTGGTTCCTTCCTGTTAGCATCTCACAAGCACACTGAGTTTCCTTCACATATTTAATCACAATTTGGAATTACTCGTTTGTGTGTTTACTTGTTCAGCGTCTATCCCCTAATACAGTGCTGCGCTTCAGGCATCGCCGAGGAGGGAGAGACTGCTAAATCTCCAAGTGCTCAGCACTTTGTACCTATTTGTATAAAAAACAGTTTAAGATATTTTGCAATACTTTTTACTCATTAGATTTTAAAAAGTGTCCAGAGAATGGATAAGCAATCTAAACAAAGCACAATCTCTACAAGATTGGGAGATTTATTAGTAATTGGACGCCGTAAAAATTGTCAATCGAGATAACTAAAAAAACGAGTCAAAGACCTATTATATGCCTCTGTAGTGGATATTAAGAATGCAATTATAAATAAGACAATAGACTATGGCCAACATATTAAGGTTTTTTTCAGAAAATAAAATCTCAAATACAAACTCTCAATTCTTAAAAAATAATATTTGTTTTAATAGACAGTCTACTGATAAGAAAAGCTTTCCCAAAAGTATTTTGTTTTCAATTTTTTACTGAAATGTTAGTGTCACTCTAGGGGAGAAGGCAAAACACAATCCCAGGCTTTTACTCCCCCATTACAAGCCCAGGGGACTTTGTCTTCATGCCTAAAACCACAACGGCACTAGCAGCAGCAGAGATTACTGCAATCACCTCGGTTTTCTTGGCCAACCGAGTGGATATCCATGTATTATTGCTAAGCTGGTGACAAAATATTTCAAAGTATGACACTGAAAGTTAACAAAATAGATGCTCTTGCTGTCACTGCAGAGTAAGGGAAAATCTGATGGACTAAGGGATAGAGATTTAACTTGCTTTGTACTTTCAGACAAATGATTTCACTTCTTTAGGTCTCACTTTCCACAACTATAAAATGAGAGGTTTCAACCAGATCCCTTAAAAGGATCCCAACAGCTCTGGGTCATATCACACGATACAGTCACACAAGGAAATAAACGTCAAACTAAAATACTTTCTGGCTAGACTGATGAGAAATAACACAAGTGTTTTTTTGTCCAAATAAAATCTCAAAATCAGAACTCTGAATTTTAAAATAACATGGTAAAGATTTATACTGACAACAGTACCATAGTTGAAATTTTACTCATTCTTTCTTGAATTATTAAAATATTCAACATTAAATGTCAACCCAGTCAATAATGATGCTCACCGACACTGATATGTCCTCACTTCTTCTCTTAACACTGGAGTCAAACAAGACATTTCTCCCTCTTCTTTCACAGTCTTGATACACAATCAGTCGAATCTGGCTTGGATCAAACTCTGGCAAAGGCCAACTGGAAAGAAAAATAATGATCCATTAGAATTATTTCAATAAATATTCCACATACATTCTTAGAAATAAAACCTATACAACCAGAAGCTGTATTATAGCTGAAGAATATATAGCTGACCTTTATATAAAATATCACTAATTTAGGGCTAAAAGTTATACAGCAATGACACTTTAGATTAAAAAGTAAAAGCAAAACAAAAGCAAAAACAAAATTATTATTTTTTTAAAGCCAGTCAAATTAGCAGTGGGGGGTTGAATATCAACTTTAGTGACACTAATGTTAGTAAGTTCTGATAACCCACTACCATCAGAACAGCCAAAAAACAAAATTATTTTTATTTAAAACAAAAGTGGCAATATCTCTTAGTATATATAAAACAGTCATCCCACATGAATTTTTAAGAAGTTAACTTAATAATATACATAAGTACACTCAACATAATGAAAATGTGTTGATTTCAAGGCATAGATCTAGATGACATAATATTACCTCATATTTTTAGATAGTGTTTACTGTTTCTTCAATATAGAAATGTGAAAACAGAAACACTTCACAATTTAAATAGTACCAAAGGATTTACAAGACAATAAACAAGTAAAAAGAGAGAAGAACCCAATGTAGTGCAAATTTTCATATACTGCTGGTGTGAATCTGTTTAGAAAACAGTCTTTTAAAATTATGTATATACTAAATAGATACATCCAAGTAAAAATGAAGTTGATTCCAGAAATTCCACTCCAGAAAAGTTTACCACAATACAACAATGTTCATAGCAGCACTGTTCTTAATAGCTGAAAACTGAAAACAATTCAAATACTCATCAATAGTAGAATGGGTAAATATACTGTGACATATTATGATTATGAAATACATCACAACAAACACAATGAATGAACTTCAGCTACAGGCAAAACCACGAATAGACCATGAGCAAAAGAAGTCAGACAATCACACACACGCAGATAGCTTTCCACTTACACACAGGTTAAAAACAGGCAAGGTGTTGTCTAGGGATGTACACTTAGCTTTTATAATGATGAAGAAAACAAGGGAAGTAATGGCCTCAAAACCGTGGAGTGAGGTGGGGCAGGAAGTGTGACCAGAAAAGGACACACCAGGTGGACTAGGGCAGTGACTGTGTTCTGCGTTTTGACGAGATGGGACTTACATGATCTTCACTTCACAGTGTATACATAAAAAAGGAACATCACATCTGTTTTATGCATTTTTATATATGCATTACAGTGCACAACAGAAACGATTAATGGGGTGGGTGAGGTAGAGAAGAGAGGGAAAGACAGAAAACAGTGAACTGGATGGTAGTGAAGCTAGTCTGGTAAACCGAACACATTGCCAATGACAGAGCAGCTGCTGAGAAATGGGGAACTGACGTGCCAGGAGCTGTCACTGGTCACGTCAGGTTGATTGGTTGATTCCTTACAATCTATCAGGCACAGCTCCTGACTGAGTTCCTTCAGCTTCTTACGAGAACCTTAAGCCTAACCCTATCAATGCATGTGAAACTACTTATAACTGGCAACATAAAACATCTTCATCCCAAATTTTTGACAGAAAATAAAGTTTTAGTTTCCTCCTATCTAATCCTTAGCAAATGTCTGTTAGGAACTCATGAAGACTTCCCCTCAGACATTCAAGCTAAACCAGGAGATAACACTTAACTTTTATCACACTGAGCTGCTTTCACTAAACTGTGCTTTCATACTGTGCAAAGGAAACTGTAAAAGAACAGACCAATGTAGGATGAAAATCAGGAAAGTGATCTCATGGAAACCAATGAAGAAGAACGTTTTAGAAAAGAAGAAGAAGAAATACTATGGCAGTCACTAAAAAGCATCCACTACCTTTACAAACAAAAATTTCATTGGTGACCATGACAAGGACAGGTCTAAGGAGTAAAGACTACAGAGGTCAGATTGCAGAGGACTGAAAAGTGAGTGGGAGCAGAGAAAACAGACAACTGTCAAGGAAAGAGAGAAAGAAAAGGAATCACGAAGGAGAGTGACAGGTATCTGTTACTAAGAAATGACACAGGCCGGGCGCAGTGGCTCAAGCCTGTAATCCTAGCACTCTGGGAGGCCGAGGCGGGCAGATTGTTTGAGCTCAGGAGTTCGAAACCAGCCTGAGCAAGAGCAAGACCCCGTCTCTACTAAAATTAGAAAGAAATTAATCAGACAACTAAAAATATATAGAAAAAAATTAGCCGGGCACGGTGGCACATGCCTGTAGTCCCAGCTACTTGGGAGGCTGAGGCAGGAGGATCGCTTGAGCCCAGGAGTGTGAGGTTGCTATGAGCTAGGATGACGCCACGGCACTCTAGCCCGGGCAAAACAGCGAGACTCTGTCTCAAAAAAAAAAAAAAGGAAGAAATGACACAGCTACAGGCTTACATATTGACGAAGAAGAATCTGAGGTGGATGAAAGTAAAGAAGGGAAAGGTGGTAAAATGGATAGTGGAGAGCAAAAAAGAGAACGTGGGTCTTGGAAAACCACATCACACTGTCGCAACGTCTTAGTGCAACACATTACTCACGTGTTTGTGGTGCTGCTGTGTAAACAAACCTACTGTGTTGCCAGCCGTATGAAAGTACAGCACATACAATTATGTAAGGGACATAATACTTGATAATGGTAATAAATGACTATGTTACTGGTTTATGTATTTACCACCCTACACTTTTTATCATTATTTTAGAGTGTACTCCTACTTATTTTAAAAAAGTTAACTGTAAACAGCCTCAGGCAGGTCCTTCAGGAGGTATTCCAAAAAAAGGTGTTGTTATCACATGAGATGACAGCTCTATGTGTGTGTTGTTGCCCCTGAAGACCTTCTAGTGGGACAAAATGTGGAGGCACAAGACAGTGACAGTGACGATCCTGACCCTGTGTAGGCCCTAAGCTAATGTGTATGTATGTGTTTTAGATGTTAACAAAAAGATTTTTAAAAAACAAAAATTTTAAAAATAGAAAAAAGCTTATAGAATAAGGCTATGAGGAAAGAAGATATTTTTGTGCAGTTGTATAATGTGTTTGTGTATTAATCCAAGTGCTAGTACAAAAGAGTCAAAAAGTTTTTAAAAATTTCAAAAGTATATGAAGTTAACAAGTTACAGTAATTTATTATGGAAGCAGAACCTAAGTGTATGGCGTCTATGAAGTCTACAGCAGCGCACAGCAATGTCTTAGGCCTTCACGTTCACTCACTGACTCACCCAGAGCAATTTCCAGTCCTGCCAGGATACATTCCTGGTAAGTGCCCTATACCAGTGCACCATTTTTATCTTTTACATCGTATTTTTACTCTTGGTCGGGGCAAGACAAGAACCTGCTCTGGAAGAAAGAGACAGCAGTAGCTAAGTAAAGAGATAAACTAACAAGATAATTTCAGATAAATGGCAGGTGAAACAAAGAAATCAAAGCAGAGAATCAACAGGCTGTGAATGAAGGGGGCAGTGAGGAGATGGTTTGTTGGGGGGGGGCTGGTACATTCGTTACAAAAAAAAGTGTCTAATATGGACAAAATCTTCTAGAGAAAATGAAAAGCTGGGTCTCGCTGGATATGAGGGCTTCCAACAGACTCTGAATGACCAGCAATGCTATTTCACTTATCCAAACCCCTCTGGTCTCCCAGAAACCCAAAGAATAAAATCCAGATTCCTTCACTCAGATGTAAAGCTCTTCACAGTCTGGCCCAGATCTGCCTTTCCAGACTCACTTCATGTTACCCATGATATCGCCACACTGATCTTCTCAAACGGTGCCAAGACATACCAGACCATTTCACAGTTCCAGGCCTTTGTACAAGTTTTCTTCTACCTAAAATATCCTCAACCTCCTTGACGAATTATTCATTCTTAAAGAGCTAGCTGAAATGTCACCTCCTCTGGGAAGTTTTCACTAACTCCTCCAAGCAGAGTTACTGACTTCTGGGATTAAATTTACCTCAGATTATAACTCTAACAGTATTTTACACATGGTTCTGTAGTTTATTTGTTTACATGTCTGTATGTTTCACTAGAAAGAAAGCTCCCTGGAGGGCAGTGCTTATTTATCTTTGAATCCCCAATCCCAAGTACAATAAATGAGTAAAACCACATACATATCCCCAAGTAAAGGTAATACTAGGCACTAAATATGAGTAATGAGTAAATGAATGGAATAATTATATTTCACAAATCGGAAAAAACAAAACAAGTAAGATTTCTTTCAAAGGCATGTCCATCAACAAAATGTAGTCTATCCATACAAAGGAGTATTTAGCCGTAAAACGGATACGTGCTGCAACGTGCATGGACTTTGAAAACATTATGCTAAGCAAAAGAAACCAGACACTAAAAGGCGACATAGTACATGGAGGTATATGAATGGACAATACACACGTGTAAAAGACACTTAAACCGTGTTAATCATCGGAGAAACATAAACTGAAACATTGCTACAACCATTTAAAATGGCTAAAACTGAAAGGACTAATAACACCAGTTGTTGGTAAGAATATGAAGCACTTGGAACTCTCATTCACTGCTGATAAGCGTGTAAAAACGGACAACCATTTGGGACACTGTTCGACAGCTATGACCCAGCAATTCCTCACAGGTACTTATCCAATAAAAATGAAAATGTATGTTCACAAATACTTCCACAGAAATGTTCGCTGCAGCTTTACTTAGCCACTAATGCCCATTAGCAGATGAATAGACAAACTATTATATATTCCTACAATGAAATACTTCTCAGAAATAAGGAATGAATTACTGATCATATGGTAACACAGATGAACTCAAACACATTGTTGAGTGAAAGAATCCAGACAGAAAAGTGTACATACTGATAATTCAATTTATATGTATTTCTAGAACAAGTAAAACTAATCTTTAGGGACAGAAATCAAAACAGTGATTTTGATTGGCAGCAGTGGTAGGGGTGAGAGAAATGGACTAGAAAGGTGTACCAGGAAACGCTCCAGGGTGATCAGAATGTTC